TGGCTTGGATCATGTCTTGGATCAAGTCTAGGTTGGTCCAGGTCTAGACAGTGTTCTTCGCTTACTGACCAGGAAGATCTGTCAGTTCGGGAGTGTCCTCAAAACGACAAGATGGTCATGTATGCAGTGCTCTTGGCCCATTGACCATTCAGGCTGGCCTTAAAACCACAACATGGCCAACTTTTCTTAACCTTTACATAAGAAACCTGCAAGTTCTAAAAGAAAGGTCAAAACCTATGATACTCGGGTTGTTAAAACCTTTTTTTTTTCAATCTATAAAATAACAATACTATGAGCATGTTTGTGTTAAATCTATTCAAGAAATACTGTTCACTCTAACCCCATGTATAGTGTAATAAAGTACACTTTTGCCTCGAAGTGTAGTTAGAGTACAATGACTCTTTTCTAAGATGCCAAATATAAAGTTATAGTTTAAGTTAAACTGACGATTAATCTAAGGCAGAAAACAAATAGCAAAACAACAGTGTCGGTGACTTAGATTAACAATACTGGTACAAGGCTAATTGACATGCAGTTCTACTGACGTTCTGTCCCTCTAAATTTAGACGTACATTACGCAGAAAACAAATGCTGAACAGTTTGAAGTCGCTGTACATTCAGATTATATATCTTCTCTAAATTATTTTTTACCTGTGAAGGTTAGAATTGATCTTCAGTAACCCATGCTTGTCGTAAGAGGCAAGTAACGGGATCGGGTGGTCAGACTCGCTGTCTTGGTTGACACATGTTATCGTATCCCAATTGCGTAGATTGATGCTTATGCTGTTGATCACTGGATTCAGACTAATCGACTCGATTATTTACAGACCGCCTCCATATAGCTGGAATATTGCTGAGTGTGGGGTAAAACTAAACTCACTTAATATTTTTAATTTAATCTGAGATTATCGTAAACCATATGGGGCAATATGAACGTTGCATATTTACTTCTAATATAAGTTTAGATCACAACATCCAGATGAAGCTGACTAGTCACCCGACATCCCACGGTTGTATTGAGAGATGGCGGATTAAGGCTTAGTTGGCAAACATGGCTGTGTCGATGTTTAATTGTGAGCCGAGATAAGACATTCGTACTGTCGAAAAAATTAAACATAATGTTTCCATCAGTGATGTTAGCCGAGTGACGTAACTGTAAACCAAGAAACGGGGTGTTACGGAGTTTGTTGTACTGTAGGAAACTGTACTTGGCAATGACAACTGACATGCATAATGACATCGGTTACCATGGGTACCTTTGATTATGAGGGGACAGACTAGAATGGCGTTGTGACGTCAATACAGTGTGACGCAATGCAAAAAGTGTACTTCATTGCCTGATAAAGTACTGTCAGCGCCCTTGATCTTTTAGCGAAGCATCTAAAAAAACCTAATAATGCATAAACTGATGTCATTTTTGAAAAAATGCCTTTGTTTGAAATGACAACTTTACTCATATTTTCGTATAAAACATTGTCCTTAGTTTACAATAACGCACACATCACTGTATCATAAGTTCCACTAATGATCCAACTTTCCCGATCTGAGAACTTTACCTGACACAGACAATAAGCCAGAGTAAATATCGAGCCCTGCAAACCTTTACGTTGAAACAAGCGGAGTCAATCATAACAAGCTGACAGTAATTACACAAGTTGACGAGTTTGGTGACATTTAAAGCTGTGATGGATACGATGGATAATGACTTGGTCATCAACTTCCTTTTCTCATGTCAGTGCCCGTTTCCATGGAAATACATACACGCAAGTTAAACCCTACTAGATAAGCTCTTCAGTTAGTGATATAAATATATATATATATATATATATAGTACAGGTTACACAACTTTCTCAAACTGCTCTTTAATCAAAGGCTAAATACAAAGGGTAGTTACATATATTTTTGACCATGTTCAAATCTGCTTGTCATCAAGATGACCTTATTACAATAAGATACATGTCTCCTTGTATCCCAGTATGTATCATTTAACAGCATTAAATCCTCACACTAGGCTATTTCAAAGCATAAAGACCATGCATTCCATTGCAGCTATTTTCACACCACGCCTGCTTCTGTCAAACTGATAAAAACAGTGGATAATTTGTCTTAGCTTCCAGCCAACAAATATATTATTCCATCCATAAATATTGAATATAGCAATTTATGTCCAACTGACAAAGGGTCTTTGATGCAAGAGTTGACACAGCAAAATGCCAAAGGGCTCTGTAGCTTATTCATATATACATATAATATTGGCGTTTGATCTGACCTTGTCCGCCAATCAGTAGCGGTGCATGATTCTATCTTCAGCACAATGTGCTGGATATGAATGTTACTGTCTGTACAACAGCTCATTACTTACAAATCCTGGATACAAGGGCTTCTGCTGGTCATCTTAAATACACACATTGGCTTCTTTCAATACTTCATCCGGAGTTGTACAACATGGTTCTGCCTGTGGGGCTTTAAGGGTTTCAAGATGGAGAATTGACAATTGTAACAAAGTATAAAAATCAGATGCCGCACAAAATCTTATCTAAGAATGTTGACTAAAGCCTCACAAGACAGTACCAGCGGTTGATATTATGAAGTTTGTTTCTGGTTCAATGTTGCACTCCAAATATTTCAGCCTATGAAGACTGACTGTATGTAATTAATTATTCACCATACAATCTGGTGATCAATATTATGAGAACAATCAGCCATCAGGGTATTGGGCATGATTACCAAATCCATTTAGTTGCCTTGACAACCATAAATTGCTGGGTAGCTATCATTAGCCTCAGAGTATCTCTACTAGGTTGAGGGTGGTTGGGTAGCCTAGTGGTTGAAGCGTTTGCTCATCACTCCAAAGACCCGAGTTCGATTGGTTACATCGTTCATTTGTCACGCCAAAGAACCAGGTTCTATTCCCCACATGGGTACAATGTGTGAAGCCCATTTCTGGTGTCCCCCGCCGTGATGTTGCTGTAATATTGTGTAGTAAAACCAAACTCACTTAATTTACTGGGTTGATATTATGAACAACATATTGAACTACGGCAATCAATCCAATCAGCTCTCCAGAAAGAACTGAAGAGACCACTTACATCCAGTGTAGTTTACTGGAGAACCATTTAGCTCAGATTCCTCCCCCCAAGGGATCTACCATGCCAAAGTCAGAATGTGTGGGTGGTAATTAAGCTCGCTAGCTGTCTTCTACCTTCTGAGTTGAGTAACGTCATTTTGAATGTCATCTACATCAACATCAACTTACTGTGTGAGTGAGGGAGTTGGGTCGCATTGTGTCAGATGTCTTCCTGGGGAAAGCCCCAAGTGCAGTTTGAGTGAGCAAGCATGGTTTTACGCCGCTTTCAGCAATATTCCAGCAATATCACACGGGGGACACCAGAAATGGGCTTCACACATTGTACCCATGTGGGGAATCGAACCCGGGTCTTCAGCGTGACTACCACTGGGCTACCCCACTGCCCCAAGTGCAGTCTGAACAGATGTCAGTCATACTATGTTATATATGAAAGCCTTGAGTGTTTCTAGTATACTAGGAAAGCAACTCATCACAAGTTATGGCATCATAGACACCTGGATCAGCCAAATGTATCGGCAGAAGAAGAAAAACGTCCTTCACACACAGGTCCCAAATGAAAAGTGAAGCAAAATGCTAGTGGAGATTAGGTGGAGGTGACCATGACTGTTTCATTTCTCTGTTGCTTAACATCAAACTTCAAGCTACATGACAGCGGTCTGTAAATAATAGTCTGGACCAGACAATCCAGTGATCAACATAGATATACCCTGTGAGTGAGTGAGTGAGTGTGTGAGTGAGTGAGTGAGTGAAGTTTAATACCATTTTATAGGTGTTCCGGGATTCTCACCACAAATGGTGAAATGCAAGGAACTGAACATGGGACAAACCAAAGTTAAAGAAATATCCACATTAGTACAATATCCATAACATTCCGTGAGTGAGTGAGTATAGTTTTAACTCCGGTTTTAGCAATATTCCAGCAACATTACAACAGGAGACATTAGAAATGGACTTCACACATTGTAGCCAAGTTGGGAATTGAACTCGGGTCTTAAGCATGACAAGCAAAAGTTTTAAGCCCTTCCCCGAGACACCCCAAACATTCCAGGAAGTAAAGACAAAACCTGATACTGCTGCCAGCACAAATATATTTATGTCAATGAATATTTATATGATGAAGTCAAGCTCCCTTAGACAGAGTGAGTGAGTATGGTTTTATTCTGCTTTTAGCAATATTCCAGCAATATCCCAGCAGGGGACACCAGAAATGGCCTTCACACATTGTACCCATGCCATTAGACAGAAGCAGATTTAATTTAACAATACGAATAACAAAAAGTCATGAAATCTTTTTCTTCTCTAAAATTGAAAACCCCACATTCAAATATAAATAATGAATTTTTTAATTCAGTCAGTTATGGTTAGTATGTTTGCTGTTATTGCCCAATTGAGCCATGCAATATATATGTTTGAATAAATTTTCATTGTATAATCACATTATACCGAACAATACCAACTGTGCTGTTACAATATACAACTGCAGACATGTATCTTAAAATATTCAAAGTAAGAATACAAGTTCTCAGAAACACAATAATTTGTAAGAGGCAACTAACAGGACTTGGTGGTCAACCTTGCTGACTTGGTACAGCCATGCCATCATTTCCCAACTGCATGAATGGGTGCTCATGACATCAGTCACTAGTCTGGTTAAGATTCAGTTATTTAAACTGGAATATTGCTAGGAGTGAAATTTAAATTAAACAACAAAATACAATAATAAAGGTATTCAAGAAGCAATAATCTGTCACTGTGTAATAATAACTATAAATCATTTAACATAATCATATAATCCTGTATCATAACTGCATGTGTGATCTGACAATACAATGTAGTACAAGTGACAACACTGTAGGTGCTGACAATGTACAACATTGTACAATTACAACACCAGCAGGTGGTGTTCACCTACCCAAGACAGGTGTGAAGTGTCTCCGAGCACGTGCAGGGGGGCGGCGGGCGACGGAAATCCATCAAAGACGCGGTATCCATCATGGTAATAAACTTCTGCCAATCTGCCACACACATACGGTACTCCAATTTAGATACAACCATAATAATTAGTAAAAACTCCTGGACGCTGCTCCCGAGAAATCACATTATCACTTGGCCATGATATTCCCGACTGCCACCTTAGGCTGAAGCTACTCCTAGTGCAGGAAGGACTGGCATTGAACACATCGCCCTGTGCAATACGCTGTAGAACTACCTGCCTCTTACAGTTGCACCCCCAGCTCAGTGCTGTATACTGGCAGTCAGCCGCTTGATACGCCAGTTATTACTCATGACTTCACAGAAGCACTGTCACATAGCATTTACACATGAGCTCAATTAAATCCCACATGTGCTACAAAGTTGGTAATATTTATTTGACTCATTCTAACACAGGTCAAACTGGACAGAAATTCCAACCCAAATTGTGTGCAATAAACCGATAACAAACTATGAAACATAATAGAGTCATTATGGTAGGCGGGGAAGTCGGCAATTAAATTCTGTAACTGTGACACAGTCAAACATTTCTTCCTTCACTTGGAAAAGCTCTCGTCAAGCGACAGATAGCATCCTCCAAGTCATTGATTATTGACCAGCTCTCTGTACGATACCATCATCCCGAACTATCTGAATCTCCGTTGCTTTATTTGTGGTGTATAAATACCTGTATCACTCCCACATTACTCCGACACTTTATCTCCCAGCTTGTCTTACTTCTCTATAGGAATGACAATAAACCTATTGGCTGGGATTGGCAGTAATACTTGCTTTACCATACAGCTATGTTTTACTTCATCAATCTCTCGCCGCAAAAGAATACAATGCTAGGCCTTTGGCTTTTCCTGAAGAATTTGAATAAAGTCATATTTATCACACAAGATATCTTAACTAATCGTTTCTCTAGTGTTGGATGCCTTGAAGGAGTATAAACATGTCGGTCAGGCACGGACTTGTGTGTCTAGTGACTCAGCTGTAACTTCTGTCATGTACATTAATTAAACACAGTGGCAACACTTCCAGGTGGGCTGCCGGCTGGTGCCATGTGATACCATTTATATCACACCAGGTTGGAATACAATGTACAAGAATCCATCACAATAGTTCAATTGTTCAAACTTACAAGGAATTTACCCAAACTGTCAGATTATCTCAAGGTTGTATTAATGGACCATATTTCACGCTTGTGATAATTCAATATGGCAAATGATTATAGCTTAACGCCAAATCTTCAATTTTCCAGAAAATTGACTCGGCCATTCTCACAAAGAAACAATCATACTGTCTTTGTCTAATTGGCCACATTCATGCTTGAGGTGCCAGACCCTAACCCTAACAGTGTCCTTCACAACACTGATTGAGGTTGGTTTTACGCCGCTTTTAGCAATATTCCAGCAACATCACGGCGGGGACACCAGAAATGGGCTTCACACATTGTACCCATGTGGGGATTCGAACCCGGGTCTTCGGCGTGACGAGCCAACGCTTTAACCACTAGGCTACCCCACCGCGCCTCCTTCACAACAGCTCATGAAGCACAACCATTATCATTGTTACTGACAGCAGATCATGTCGTTACAGAACAAATAGTTGCTTTTTAACTGCCATTTTTATTCATAAATTTAGTAGATTTTCTGCTTGATTCCAGTTGGCAAACTGAACTTGTCCACACTTATACGAGACGTACACCATGGTCACTGACCTTGCATGGAATGTCACAAGATTGTTCACACAGTGTGTGGTATGGAAACTGATTTATGAGCATGACATGACTTGTTTACATTGTTTAACCCCAGTGTTCGACTCACCTGATACACATCACAGGAAAACACTTAACATAGGAAATTTAAACCAATAAAACTGCTGCCACACACTTGTGGTGGAACCTGTTACCTGCACTGGGTGCAACCCCACAATAAAAGTTACACACACTGGCAAGATTTAACCCTCAACATGGACGTAACGAAATCGATCCCAACACGCCGAAGACATTGCACACTCCACACACCAAAGACATGACACAAGACGGCCTGACATATTGTGTTGACAAAGAACTCACCACTGCTCCTTGTCATCCATACATTCGACTAGCACCTGATAGCACACACAATCTCTCTCATCTTAACCTTCACCAAATTGTTTTGAAATAACTAATTTAAGTCCAGTAAATGTCATTCCTATCCTTTGATGCACCCCCAGCACTATCTAGAGATTGGGGCATTCCTCCTTATTTAAAGACTTCCTGCAGTTTGAATGGAGCAATACATGTTCCAATATCCACCCCTGGACCAATGCCGCCACGTAATACGACCAATATCGCCCCCTCCAGTGAGGAATTCTTGTAATCACATTCAACAGAAATCGACTTCATTCTTCAGAAAGTCAAAAGGTTTATGCAGGAAAATTTGAAGCCACAAGCCTCCAATTAATCAGCATATTGAAGTATGAAACTCAATTTGGGCATCTGAGAATGATTGGTGAAACGTATGGACACCATTGCTTGGGTATTGATATTCCAAAATAGTTTAGTAAAACTTTCATAAAATGTTCAATAAGTTAAACAATATGTACTTTTTTCAACAACTTCTCTATTTGTTGAATCAGTCTCATGAAACTCTCAAATAAACTGTTTAACTACTTTCGTTCAGAAATATAAGTCAAGAATGTTTATACATCATGAGGCCTATCAACCAAACCCTCCAGTTTTCATGTTGATTTACATTCGCTGTTACACAGTTTTGTTCATAATAATTACTACGTGCGAAATGGTTCAACCAAAGTCCAGATAGCCCTGCAGTTAGTTGGTATAGCTTTTGCACAGGAAAGGGACGGTTTCGATCCCCGGCTTTATCATACCATAAGACATTAAAACATGGTACTTGTTTTCACTCTGCCTGGTGTGTCCGTATTGGCTTTGCTCCAGCAGCATCCTTGACACTAAGTAGGCTTGACATGGTACGTATGCCAATGATGGAATCAAACCAAACACTGCATTATGGTAAGTAAGCACATGATTCACTTTACTAGCCAAACACTACGGAAAGAAATTAGCAGAGTTTTTTATTTCTTTTTTAAACCCTTAGATACTAAACACATAGCAAAACATGTAAATTCATCAGAAAGTATTTCACATAATTATTTCACCATCATGTAACTAAAAAATCGCCATGATGTTTCCAAAAATTTAGAATTTTGGAACCACACAACTCTTTTGGTTTTGGTTCTGTTATAGTGAGTGAGTGAGTTTAGTTTTACGCCGCACTCAGCAATATTCCAGCTATAAAGCGGCAGTCTGTAAACAATCGAGTCTGGACCAGACAATCCAGTGATCAACAGCATGAGCATCGATCTGTTGGTTCTGTTACAAAGACATGATATACAAAGCCTACACTAAACTAGAAAGCAAAATTGAGGTCTTTTAAATCCCATCTGTCAGTAGCTTTTTCTTTATTTCAAAGTTCCTTAAGAAAATAGATCAAATATAAACATATTATCAAAACACTATCTTGCATTCTTACAATCACATGTTCAGGTTTTTTCATAATTAATTGTCATCCCACAGCACATTTTAATCTCCAGTGAAATCGGTAAAACAAGACACAGAACACATTTCTCTGAAACGGCGACAGAAAACTGATGTATTAATGTTTAATGTATCATTGATAGTAATTCATATCTGATACTGACTTGCGGAAAACAATGCAGCGATAAAATCGCCTGCGCTCTTCGATCACTCAGGGTCAATATTCCCCACAGGCTATAGCCTGCATATTCATTGTTCATTCAGCTTACATGTAGGCACTATACCACACATGTTCAAGATGAAGATTTGGAGGTTGGTAACATAGCTCGTGCACAGAGCTTTAATGTTTTATAGTGTATTCATTGTTTAGGATCACGACTGTTTTATGAACCTGACATACAAGTCCTTGTGATTGATGTGCCATTAATATTTGATGATCATTTTCACAAAACAGTTCTGTCTGTGTTTTTCTTATCTGATTAATTCAGCATTTGTCTGCATCAGGGAAATATAGTTCCAAAACACATTGTGTTTTCCTGGTGGAATGGAAATGAGGTTTATTAATATCAAATCTATATAAGACTATCTAGGTCTGTTATATCAGTATTATACATCAGTATCTAGGTCTGTTATATCAGTATTATACACCAGTATCTAGGTCTGATATATCAGTATTATATACCAGTATCCTGGTCTGATATATCAGTATTATACACCAGTATCCTGGTCTGATATATCAGTATTATACACCAGTATCCTGGTCTGATATATCAGTATTATACACCAGTATCCTGGTCTGATATATCAGTATCATACACCAGTATCTTGGTCTGATATATCAGTATTATACACCAGTATCCTTGTCTGTTATATCAGTATTATACACCAGTATCTAGGTCTGTTATATCAGTATCATACACCAGTATCTAGGTCTGTTACATCAGTATCATACACCAGTATCTAGGTCTGTTATATCAGTATTATACACCAGTATCTAGTTCTGTTATATCAGTATCATACACCAGTATCCTGGTCTGATATATCAGACCAGGATACTGGGTCTGATACTGATATATCAGACCAGACCAGGTATGATACTGATATATCAGACCAGGATACAGGTGTATGATACTGATATATCAGTATTATACACCAGTATCCTGGTCTGATATATCAGTATTATACACCAGTATCTTGGTCTGATATATCAGTATTATACACCAGTATCCTGGTCTGATATATCAGTATCATACACCAGTATCTTGGACTGATATATCAGTATCATACACCAGTATCTACTTCTGTTATATCAGTATCATACACCAGTAGCCTGGTCTGATATATCAGTATTATACACCAGTATCCTGGTCTGATATATCAGTATCATACACCAGTATCTAGTTCTGTTATATCAGTATCATACACCAGTATCCTGGTCTGATATATCAGTATCATACACCAGTATCTAGTTCTGTTATATCAGTATCATACACCAGTATCCTGGTCTGATATATCAGTATTATACACTAGTATCCTGGTCTGATT